AGAATAATATTTTATTAATTTTCGTGCGCTTAGTTAAGTACACGAAAACGCGTTCATAAGCCTAAATGTCACAGACGAATCGTGTTTCTGTTGGCAAACTTCGTATTGAATATTCACAAACAGCTGCAGTATTTTGTTTAATTCCTCTTCTAAATAAACATGGTGCGCTCTTACTATGGACTCAACCTAAGCACCGTATACAAGAGACTGAAGAGGCGAAGACTGGCATATGCTAAGGCCGTTGGAAATGACGTACGTCAACACCCTGCCGGCGCAGATTGGATTAGTCCCAGGACTAGGGATTTCAACCCCTATTCCCCCGTCCCAGAAAAATGTTTTCGCAGTGGGACACCCTGTTTTCTCAGGTTAAGCACCCAAATTAATTGTGTTGTCAGAGGACAACTTTATTAATAATTTGTTGATAAAAAAGTGGATTTTGAAAAATGGGTAACATAAATATAATTCGTTAATCAAAATTCTTCATCCCCGAATTCCCCCAGATTTCTTCGGATTGCCCGTCGGCCTGTGCTGGCAGAGCAGGTTTACCATATTTGCATTCACAGTAACTAGAGGTCGCTTGTGCGTCTTATCAGCAGATTGCGTCATGTGCAAATGGCGTCGATAGCGTGCGCGGGCATGCAAAAATTGATCAACCAATTATCTATCAGTTGTGCAAGTATGCCAACCAATTAAAATCAAGCAGGCGTGATGCTCGTGTTTGCGTACTACGCCAACGCGTGCATTGCTATTAGGTGTGTGTGCAGGTCCATCCGCAGCATTTACTGCTGCTCTTCCTGGAGTGTCCTCGCAACCGGCAAGGCCTCTACTTACCGTTAAAAATCCTTCCGGTAGGTCCTTCAGGTGTCTTAGCAAATAATATTTGCAGTCTAAGCTGAAGATCAGTACCCCACCGCGGCATCCAAGTGCTCATTTCTGGAGGCTCTGTAGGCTTTCCATCTACATAGTGTATTGCCCCTTGCCACTACTACAGACCTCTTTGATATGCTGCGGCCCTTTCACGCCTCGATCGTGCATGAGGAAGCCGGTACATAATGATTTTTATGTACATTTAGACCTGAGGGACGGCCTGTTGCATGAACTCCGCATTCGGCCAACAATGGTTATTCTGAAGATGCGCTTACAACTTAAAATCGACGGAATAAAGCAGTTTAAGGGGTCAGGTGACTACCTGTTGTCCATACTTTGTCGTATCAGGCATTTCGTTATATCCCAACCCTTCGTTGTTGGTGCCTTCTCCGGTTCCGGTAGGCCTGAACCTCTAGACAGCCTTCTGGAGGACTGTGATTCAGAGGTGACAGAACTGCTTGCGGATGGCTTGTCCACTAAGCTTTCGCATGGCTGAGGCGTAATCTCTTTTGTGGTAGAATCTCGTCTACCCCTCAACTTATTTACTCATTTCCGCATTTTAAAACAGCTTCACCAGGGGGAAAACTTCAGCAATTAAAAATATTTCAATTTTTCGATTCCCGAACGAATACTTTGGCAGTACCAGAAGACTGCTAAAACAAGTGAACTAATTCTAGAAGCCCATGCACTGTTACCTACCGTCAATGTTTTTTATAACTTAACAAGCGTCGTTCTATTAACCACTT